CCCCGGGGCATCCCAGCAGCCAGCAGGGCCGTTTGATTCTGTTCATCCATAAATCATGACTTGCTGAGGAGATGAGAAGGGGTTGGGAGTGGGGGCAGAGCCCTGGCAAGGGACCAAGTTGGGTCTACAGTTCACACCTGAGTCCCAGCCTGACTTCCAGCTGCCGCCCCCACCCCCTGTCCCCATGCCTCCGCCCTCCCCCTTCCATGTCATGCATGTTCACAGATCCTTGCGATGGTCAAGTCCTGGGCCAGGGAGTGGGTGCACAGATTGAGTAACATGGGACCCCTGACCTCTGCTGCCCTGTGGGGAAAGCTAGAGTATTTCCAGTTTGGCGTTTCATTCAGCACTCACTGAGCTCCGTGTCCCAGATATCTCTAGTACAGGGCGTGACATGGTAATGCCATGATAATAACTAGCATTTATTGCCAACCTACTCCGTGCCAGGCCCTGTGCCAAGTGCTTTATATGTACTCGTTCCTGTTAACTTCACAACAGACCTGTGAGAACTGTACTGTCATTAGCCCCCATTTACAGATGGGGAAAGCGAGGCATGCAAAGATAATGTCACATGGCTGGGAAGAATCTGAGCTAGAAATTGAGCCCGGGCAGTCTGACTCCAGCCCTGGCACTTGTCACTCTACTCCACGTTTTTGTGGGGTTTTTTTTCCCTTTCATTTGGTAGTAGGGGTGGAACTCAGGGGTGCACTACCACTGAGCTACATCCCCAGACCTTTTCATTTATTATTCTGACACTGGGTCTCGCCAAGTTGCTAAAGGTCTTGTTAACTTGCCCAGGCTGGCCTTGAACTTGCAGTCCTCCTGCATCAGCCTCCTGAGATCTGGAATTACAGGAGTGTGCCCTGGCCACCCAGCTTCACTGCTATCCAAGTTGGAGGCAGGCACAGTGTGAGGGGGGGACTCAGGCAGGAGAAATTAATCCCCACAGGGCAGATTAAGGAAGGCTTCATGGAGGTGGGATTTTCATTTGGGTCTAGGAAAAATCAGAAGTGTGTCAGGCAAAGTGGGACACGGGGGGACAACAGAAGGGTCCTGGGGTGTGTGTGTCTGTATAGAAGTGGCTCTGAAACTCTGTCCTTGATGGCTATCCCAATCTCTTCTTTCCATCTTGTTTGGGTGACAAATGAGATCACAGACAAGCATTGAACATTCAACAAATATTTGCTAAGCAACTCTGTGTGTCAGATACCATACTTCTCACAAAGGGTACTGCAGCAAGCAAAGCAGATATAGCTCCTATGTTCACAGGCCCCACTGTGTAGTATACCATAGGTGCTTAATAACTGGTAGCCTCCATTGTTATCTTTATTCCAAGAGGGCTGGCTTTCTTCCACATTCATTCTTACAACAAGCTTTTATCAAGCACCTACTATATGCCAGGCTTTGTCCTCAGTGCTGGGAATAAATATAGTGGTGAGCAAGAAAGCAAGCCCTACCCTCACGGAGCTGACTTGCTGGAGAGGGGGACTGTGCATGGACATGTTGTCCTCCCTCGGAGTGGGACTACCTCCCGTGGCTCACAGGCTTGATCTGAGATCTGCTTGGGAAGCGGCTCAGCCAGGAGCACCGGCTCTGCCCACAGGATTCAGAGCATTCGCCCAGAGCTCTGATCAGCTGCATGCCCACCACAGACCCGGGGTGGGGGGCGGCAGCAGGCTGAGCCCACGCAGCACTCCCAAGACACCCCCGGGATTGGTCTGGCAGGCTTGGTTCTGCCCAGCTCCCGGCTCACCCTACCTCCCAGGTCTCCCGATGTCATCTGTCTGCCCTTGTCTGCATCTCACCCTCAGGGACCCGGGATGTCTCCTCTGCCCAAGGATAGGTTGCAGAATTCAGCCCTGTCAAAGGCTGACTAGACCTGCAATATTTTCTTTCCCCAGATGTTAATATGCTGACAATAAGGGGACTTGAAACCATGTATGTCATCTGAGGAAGGGATGGAAGGGCCCGGGCGGCTTTGCCTGGAGAAGACTTGAAGGGGACATGAAAACTGTCGGCAAGGATTTGGAGGCCCGTCATGCGGCCGAGCAGCCCGCTTGCTCCCCGCAGCTCCGGAGGCAGGCTCAGGACCACAGGGGAGGGTTCGAGGGAGTCGGCTCAGTGCAAGGCACAGCGGGCCTCACCTCACAGTGCATCGGGGAGGGCCAGCCTCCTGCAGAGGCAGCTCCCTGTCAGAGCCCGGGCTGCCCAGGGGGCTGTGCGTGGTGGGGCCTGACTCATGACTTTCAAGGTCCCTTCCAGCCAGAGACACCGTGACTCCCTGCTCTGGGAATGGTTCGCTCTGACTGGCAGGCGAGAACTCGCTTGCACCCCTTGACGGTAACATCACTTGAGGGCACGCCGGCCAAGGACGCCTTGTCACTTTTACTCCCAACATCAAGGCAATTTGCAGTGGCAAGCGTTTGTCTCACCCTGCCTTCAAGGACTGTCCAAGGGATGCTGAGGGGGGTCGGGGATCTTGGGGAGGGGAAGAGTCAGCTTCCTAAAAGATGATGGCGTTCTTTACGCTGCAGGGGACCCTAGAGTCACCGTTCCAGAGGGGTTTCAACTTCCCTTAGTAACACATCCCCTTCTTCAAATGGAATTTCCTGCAAAAGCTCAAGATGTGAAGCTGAGGGAAATGACGCTGCTCTGACTGGACAGGGCTTGAGAGGCCACAGCCGTATCTGCTCAGCCTCCGCCACCACAGCCCCTGAGAGATTCCAGGGAACCCTGGGGGTTCCAAAGAGCACACTTTGAGAACCACTAACCATCCACCTCTGGAGTGGATGATAGGATGTCAAGGCAAAGAGTATGAACTCTGAAGCAGATCACCAGGGTTTAAACCCTGGCTGTCCCACTCACTAGCCAAATGACCTTGAGCATGGTATTTGACCCCTCTGTGACTGAGTTGCCCCAGGAAACTCTCAAGGTTTACCTCAGTTGTTGCTGTGAGGATTAAGTTACTTTTGCAACGCGGAGCACCTGGAACTCCTGGGCTCATCCTCTGAGCAAGGAAGGGTCAGTTTTTCCACAGATGGCAGCACTGATGTCAGTGGCTTGCCCCTGGGGCAGGACTTGGTTGCTGCAGGTTGTCCAGGTCAGAGCTCATGGTTGCTGTGGCCCTGGAGTTGACAGTGAACTGGGCACAGGGACTTCCTGCAGCGTGAGGCTGCATACTTGTACAGGAGCAAGCTCTGTGGGCACGGCGGGTGGACACGGGGAAGCCTTCTCTGAAGGGAGAGATGAGGCGCAAGAGGCATTCTGGAGAGAACAGGTAGTGAATGGGCTACAGGGTCCTGGAATGGTGGGAGGGAGCCCCGGGAGCCCTCGGAACTGGGCATGACCGCCGGGCCTTCCTCATGGCCACGCAGGAGACGCCAGGAGAGGAAGAGAAGGCGGAAGCTAAAACCGCGGGAACCAGGACCAAACAGATATTGTCAACTCTTAATTACCACAACCACTGGCACTGAAGAGCCCACGCAGGCGCCTCTGTAAATAAACCACATCTCCTTGACTTCAGAACGCCTCGCAGGGCGCTCCGGTTTACTGTGCACGTGGGGCTCTGCCTTCTCTCCACTCACTCCCCCACACGGATCATTTTTGGTCAAGCGTTCGCCTTCCTTATGCTTGGTTTGGGCTGATGTTTACAACCACCTGTGAAGAAGGCAGGGGAGGTGGCTTAGTGCAAAGCCACCCAGCTAGGAAGAGGAGGGACTCCCTGAAGCAAATGGCCCTGAGCTCACAGAATGGAAGCCGCAGGGTAGCCCCCACCCTGAGCATTTGGGACTTTGTAAACGATGAGATGGGGTTGCAACCGTGGGTGGGAGGGCAGAGGTGAGCTCATAGGCACAGCTGGAGAAGGCAGGGGTGGGCAGAGGCCAGTGGGTGGGCTTCCAGCCCAAAGGAAACAGAGTTAAGGTGAGCAGAGGGGTCCAGGGATTTCCCCTCTCATTACACATGTGGCTGTTGAGTCTTGGCCAAACCCTTAAGAGGGACTGTAGGAACTAGTCCTTTAGGTCCATTTCACTGTAGTTGTCACTCAGTGTGTGTGTGGGGGGGAGGGGGGCTGGGGACCTGGAAGGGCAGAGAGCCACGAGGACACAGCACCTACTTTAGAGGGATTGATGCACCTACTAAGGGCTGGCTGAGCTGAGGGGCACATATGGCCTCTCCCTTTCAGGGTGTCAAGTTTGGAGAATGGTATGGAGACACCAAAAAAAAGATGCCAGCTGGCACAATTCTCCCAATTTATAGATGAGGAAACTGAGACACGGAGGGGTGAAGTATTTCCCGAGTTTACCCAGCAAAGCAGAAGTGGGAGTAGAACCCGGGCTCAGAGCTCCCAGCATTGAGGCCAGAAGATGGAAGGCGGGGTGCTCTGGGATGAAGGAGAGTGGCTGTCCCTGGCTAGTGAGGGTCTGACATGTACCTGTCCTCTCCAGGGGCGCCCACCCGCGATGTCCTGCTGGTCTCTGCCATCATCACCGTCAGCCTTAGCGTCACTGTCGTCCTCTGCGGCCTCTGCCACTGGTGTCAGCGCAAACTGGTGAGGCTCCTGAGGGCCCCTGGGGCGTAGGCGGGGCCTGGCCCTGCACCCCCTCACTCTGCAGCAACGGGCTGCGCATTCTCGAGAGTGTGCACCCGCCCGGATGGACCACTTGCCCATACAGAGGCACTTCACGGAAATTCCCACTACACACACGCCCTGAGTTTGTCCGGGTCTTAATCCCATACTTCTTTTTACACTCAGAGCCACACATCTTGGGACACACATTCATGGACAGACCTCGGTCTCAGTCACCGCACTACACACATGCGTGCACGCGTGCGCACGCGCCCCACCTCCCGCATAAAGAACCGCAGACTCACACGCGCTGACTGAGAATTGAGGCCCCTTAAGCGCCAGCGCCGCGCCCCTCCCTTCGCTGTCCCGCTAGATGGGCGTGGCAGAGCCCAGTCTCCTGGCCAATGAGGAGGCACCGCCCGCCCCGCCCCACCCCACCCCCAGCCATGGCACATCCATCCTGATTCTCCGGGTTTGTACAAGCACAAACGGCTTCTTTTCATTTTTAACGAGGGCTGGGAAATTAAAGAGCAGGATTAGGCCATCAATAAGTAACGAGGTCGTCTAGAGGGACATTCATCACCCGAGGGCGCCGGGAGGGGAAGCGGGCTACTGCCACCTTACCCACTCACCCACCCGCAGCCTGCAGCCCGCAGCTCTGCAAGGGGCACTTCCCGCAGGCCCTCACTCCCTGCCACTCATCTGGTGTTTCGCTGCCCTGCCCAGAAGCGTGGTGGGCCCAGAGGTGTCTGTGAGGTGCAGGGCTTTGCAGGCATCCTCCAACCCGAGCCGAGAATGGTGTGAGTGGGGGCAGGGTGCCACATCTGGAACCCCGTTTTCCCCTGCCCACTCCCAGAGGTGCCATAAGGTGGATAGGGCTCCATGCCCCACTCCTATGGAGGAAGAGGAAGAGCAGATAGCCTTGGGAAAGGGTTGTGGGGTCTTGTAGGGGGCCTATGGGACCCAAGCAGCCCATAACCTAGCATCTCCTTCAAGAAAGGCAAACTCAGGAGCCGGGATCTACCTTGCCATCCACCCAGGGATTTTGAGCACCAGGCAGCTTTGACCCCTGGGAAAGAGCCACGGAGGCCAGCAGCTCCATATGTGCATGTGTGCAAGCGTGTATGACCTGGCCTACTCCCTGTGTGCAAGTGTGTGGTCCTTGGTTGGCTGCTGTGCATTGTTCCCAGGTCCCCTGTGTCTACATCTGTCTCATAATTTCAGGGGAGGTGTCAGAGGGGAATTGGCCACGTGCCTTGGTGTGTGTGCAAGTGTCCTCTGAGGCCATGGAAATAACAGCTCACACTGCAGCCCTGTGTGTTGCAAGACTGTGTTTCGGTCTGTATTTGAAGGCAGGGGGAAAGGTTGTACAAACAGGTACTGCTGGTGACTTTGCGTGTGCATGGGGGTGGGGTGTGTGTGTGTGTGTGTGTGATTTGTGCAGCGTGTGTTGACTTTCAGGGCACTGGTGCAGCATGTGTGTGTATATGTATGTGCACGGGTGTGTGTGTGTCCATTCTGAGCAGTGAGATGTGGATTATATCATCAGATCTTTGTGTGACTGGCACTGAGGTATGCCCCCATCCCAGCCTCTCCTGCATGTGCCACAATGTGTGTGCACCACTCTGTGCGTATGCCCATGTGTGCATGCATGTGTGTTGAGACGTGCCTTCTAGGACCAGGTTACTCTGAGCCCCACTCACCTCCAATCAGCACAAAGCCTGCAGACAAGAGTTCAAAGATGACAGCTTTGGAAGCAGGAGGGGGCCAGCAGTCCAGGGAGCGCTGGGGAGATGCAGAGCCAGCCTCTTCCCTGGTCCCAGCATGCCCCCAGCCACCAGCCAGGAACTCTCCCAGGGCTCCAAACTACAGTCTGTCCCTCTTGACTCAATAGAACATTACTTTCTCAGTCCTTCAACCTACCGCCCCCAGCCCCTGGCCCCATGGGTTCCAGGCATCAGGGAGCTTTATGACTGGGCTGTTTCCTTGCTCCATGGAAGGAGCTTTAAAATGCTGTCCCTACGAACAGTTGCTGGGCTCTCCTTGCCTGCCTGTCCCCTCAGCAGCAGTGACGTGATACCCTGACAGCCCAGATCCCATTTCCAAACATTAATAACTTCCTTAATCTCCAGCTGGCTTTTTCCGGATCAGCCTGGCTAGCCCCCTTCCTGATAAGCCTGCTGGGGGTATGGGCTCCTTTGGAGCCACCTAATGTCTCCTAACCCTTCCTGGATTTCCTATTAACTTGGGTTGCCCTATTAAAGTCCCCTGCCCCCTCTCAACCAAGCCGTGCCTTGGTCCTTCTCCACAGTACCTCCTGCTGCCAGGGACAGCTGCAGTCAGAAGGGATGGTTCTCTGAGCTGTAGGAAGAAGAGGGGCCGACAGAAGCCCCCAGAATGCCCTGGGTGAAGCGGAATCACCTACCTCAGCCCAGTCCTGCCTGGCCTTGGGGAAGGGGCAGCCAACTAGCCTGAGGAGAGGGTGCTGGCCAGGGCAAGTTCTCCAGTCAAGACCAGAAATATGAGAGAGGGTGAGGCACTGGGGGTGCCTGCAGGAGGGCCCACCCTGCCGGAGACCTAGAGAACAGTGGGTACCGGGCTCCTGCCAAGGGTCCTGCTAAATACAGCGTGGCCCCTAGATGTTCCCAGTCAGTACTGGAGTAGTTTGAAATTTGAACTTCCGGGTAATGAGGAGAGTGACAGGAGACGGAGCTGAGAACACTCTGTAGACCCAGAGGGTCCAGCAGCTCTGTGATTTAACTCTTGAGGTTCTGGCTCTGGCACCAGCTGGGCCCAGGCCCCCAACTGTGGGTGGGTCCATAGAAGAGATGCTTCCACTACTGGTGAGTACCAGGTCCCCCTCTAGGGACCAGGGAAGGGACAGCCCTGCCTTTGTGCAGCTCCATTCCAGGGAGAAGGAGCTGAAGTAAGCCAACAGAGAAACAATGGAGTCTAGAACAGGGCATATCATCCTGGGGGGGGTGCGCATCTAGTGACATCACACCATTTCAGACAAGAGGAAAGAGACCAGAGGGGAAGGACTTGACCAGAGTGGCACAAGGAGCATTTGACATCACTGGGGTGCTGGAGGGGTGCTGGAGGTAGAGTGAGGGCTCTCCCCAGCCCCTGGCCGGGAGCTCCGTGCCTCTCCCTGGACAGGCGGCTCCCGTGGCCGGGCAGGGGCTGCCACTGGCAGGAGCTCAGGGAAATCCGCTCTGGTGACTCTCATTTTGCTTTCAGGAGAATGGAATGATTGACTGTTGTGGCTGTGGTGTTGGTGCACAGGACAGAATGTCGAGGAAGCATGGGGTGCATGTGTGTCTGTCTGTCCCCACTGTCCCCACCTAGCCAGGCAGGGGCAGGCCAGTGCCAATGAGTAAATGGACCTGGTGGGGGAGACTGCTTCAGCCCCCACGCAGCCTCCACCCTCCACTGCCTGTATCAGCCCAGAGCCTGGTCCAGGCCCGGGGCCCATGGGTGCGTGTGAGGACGCTTGGTGGCAGCCAGGAATGTTAATGGGGCCGGGCTCTGCATGAGCTAAATTTAGAAACCCAAACTGAGAAGGTGACTGGCACTCACCTTCCTGGCCGGCAGGCCCACTCGCCACTGCAGAGTGGCCCTTCCTCTAGCTGGAGGGCCTGGGTGTCCACCCCCTTCCCTCCCCTGTCCCCTCCTCATGCTGCTATGAGGGACTCTGGGGGATGTCCAGGGGCAGGCTGCCCCCCACACCTATGCCAGCCTATAGCCTCTCTTCCCAAGGCTCCCTTCTCCAAATGGCCCTCACAGCCCCAGGGCACCAGGACCCCAGGGAGCCCCCAGGTAGTGACGGACATAGCCATGGGCAGGACTGGCACGTGGCCCTCTCCCCGCCCCCACTGCTCACGTCACTGGCCACTGCCAACCTTGCCCTACGGGGTGCCGCCCCCACCATCTGGGGGTGGTGACGTGGCCAGTGTGACGTGGCCAGGCGCCTGAGAGCCGTCTGTCCATGGCAGAGGGAACTGTTTCTGGGAGCCAGGCCAAGGCCCAGGAGATGGGCAGACAGGAGGAGCCTGGTACCTGGGGGTCAGGCTGAGGTGCATATGGTGAGTGGCAGGCAGATCCTAGAGCCCACTGGGGCCCAGAAGCCACCAACCAGGGAGCAGGTACTGATGGGGCTGGCACCCCCCAGTGGTGATACCCCCACACACGGCCCTGGACCTTGCTGCCGAGGCTGGACTCTGATCTCCTCCCTTAACCTTGGGGTTCCTGTCCTGGGGAGGTGGGGAGAGTCCGGCCCCGACCCCTAAGAGTGACCCTGGTGCTGTCTCCACAGGGCAAACGCTACAAGAACTCCCTGGAGACGGTGGGCACGCCAGACTCGGGGCGTGGGCGCAGTGAGAAGAAGGCCATAAAGTAGGTGCCAGGCTGCCAGCTTGGGGGGCACATAGGCGACCCAGGTGGGAGGAACCCCTTCCTCCTCCTCAGGCCTGGCCACACACACAGTCCACAGTGTCCCCTTGCCCCTGAGGCCATGCTCAGTATCTGCTCTGCATATTCCCAGCATCTCTGGGCCCTCAGGGCCCTCCTTCTCTGCCTGTGCCCCCACTGGTCCCTCACAAGCTGTCAGAGCCCAGGTCCTTTCTCTGGCTGTCCCCACCCCAGCACCGTCTCTCTCTGCCTCAAGCCTGGTTGCTGCTCCCTCCATCCAACCTTCATGTCACACACCTGTCCTGACCCCTGGCCGGTCCCTGGACCTCTAAGCTCCTCCCCGGGCCCTACTCCTGGGCTGGGAGCCTCCTCCTGTTGGGCTTAGGCTCTTTGCTCAGATTCTACCCGTGTTCTGAGGGCAACTTGGAAGGTGGGGCGGGCAAACCTTGGGGACCCAGCTGGTCCCAGTGCTGGACCTCTCTGGAAGCAGAACCGTGGGGAGAGTCGCCTCCCTTCCCTGTCCCCACCTCAGGTCCTGCTGCCTCCGACCTGCTCTGAGACCCGTGTGGCAGACAGGTCTGGCTTCCCCTGCAGACCGCCTTGGCCATCCCATTACCGAGGTCCCTGGAAGATCCCGGGAGAAGCCTGCTCACCTGGCGGGAGTGGGCCGGCCTCTGGGAGTGGAGGCTTCCCTGGAGCCGGTCCATCCCGGCCCTTTCTTCCTGTGGAACCCAAGCCTTTCCTGGAAACTCAGGGGGCATGGTCACCCTCTCTTAGCCTCAGACCAAACCTGCCGGCCGAGGGGCTCTGCCAGGAAGCCGAGCCCCCAGCCCCTCCCCTCCTTTCCCTCCAGGCCTGCTGCCCTCCCCCCACCAGCCCTTTCCCTGTTTTTCTTTCTCTTCTCTTCCCGCCCCTGTCCCGCTCTCCCCCTCCTTCCCACTTGGAGGGCCCCTCCCTGCCCCTCCCCTGTTTTCATCTCCTTCTCTGACCCTGGTTGGCCCCTTTACAGAAGCTGCGGGAGTGTGTCTGGGGTGGGGCTGCAGGAAGGGTGGGCCAGCTGAGGCCGGGGTGGGTGGAAGCCTCAGGAGGAGGCTGTGGGGAGTCTTTGAAGCCGGGTTTGGTTGCGTGCTCTCCAGTCTTCAAAGCCGAGAGCTGGCAGGTCTCGGGGGCTGGTGCAGAGCTCAGGCCCCCAGCTTTCGGAAGGTGGGAGGGACAGTGTGGGGGAGCATAGGGCGGCACCTGTGCCACTCCAAGCTGGGCTGTCTGCAGCCACTGGCCCCGGGGCTGCAGGGACTATCTGTGCCAGGTGATCAAACAGGGGTGCATGTAGCCGGGCCAGGAATCCTGGAAAGGGCCACCAGAGAAGACAGGATTCCCAGCAAGGGAAGGCAGGCCAGCAGGGCCAGCAGGGCCAGCAGCCATCTCTGCCAGGCTGGGACCAGTGCCCCTGAGGGTTCTCTAAGACAAGGTGAGGCAGCAGCACCTTCCAGCCCAACTCTACCCTGAGCCCACCATCCACACAACCCAAGACCACCCTCACCCTGCTGGGCGAGGGGAAGGGAGTCACTGCCTATGTCTGTGTGACCCATATTCCCAGGCTTGTGCCACTTATTTACTGCACAACTCCTGGTGGACTTAGGACCTCCCTAAGGGATTGTCTTGTCAAGGATTCTGGGAAGCTTCGTTCTTGATCAGCGTTTCCTTCACCGTGTTCCTTGGAGCACTTGTGCCCCATAAATGATTAATGGTTTGCCATGAATCAGGGGTTCCACCTGCAATCAAGTTTAGGGAACACTGTGTGTGTACTCTGTCTCCCTTTTGGTGATACTGATAGTCATGGGCGGGTTAAAGGCTCTGCCTTGTCTGCGTAAAGGAACCACACACGCGCGCGTGCGCGCGCGCACACACACACACACACACACACACACACACTTCCTGAATTAAAGATCCTCTTTTCTAGTGACACAGTGAGAACCTGAGGGACCCTGGAACTCCATGGGACACAGGGCAGGAAACTAGCCTGGCAGTGGCACTGGGTGGATCTTTCTCTCTAGGACCTAGTGTTGGGAGGCTCTCAATTTGGGAGATCTGAAAGGAGAAGGGGGAGGGAGGCCATCCACCTGCTCCCGCTCTGTGACACCTGATGTAGGGAGGCCCCATCCACACCTTCGTGTGATGCCCTGTTGCCAAGGGGCCCCAAGGACAGCTCTGATGGGGATGGGGTCATTTGTCAAGGGAGCGGCTTCCCCTGGCGCCCATCCTGCCTCTCCTACCCCCACCCCAGCCTCCTTGTCCCTGGAACTGGCTCGGGGCTGGGGCTTTGAACATTGTGCACACAGCCCCCACCACCATCATGAGACTTTTCCAAGATGAACTTCGTACAGTCAGACATTCTGAGCCCACTAACTCTTCTGAGCCTAATGGTGGCATCTCAGCTTCTGTCACCTTTTGGTCCTTTGTGAGGTGAAGAACCAAGGCCAAGGTCAAACTCTCAGTGGGGAAAGAAGCAGGTTCCCCCCCAACGTTTGCCTCATCATCAGGGGGTGTGCCCCCACAGTGCCTTTCCCCCAACCACCCCTGACAGGACCTGCAGGGTCTCAGCCTCAGCGACCCGCGCGCGCACACGCACGCACGCACACAGCAGGCACCCTGCCAGCTCCTCCAGAGCCTCCCCCCCCCCTGCAGCATTCTTAGGAGCCAGAGGAGGCTTCCTTCCAGAACGGTCCTTTGGCCTGGGAGCTGCCTCTCCTTTCTCTGTCCCTTGGAACCCTAGGAGTCTGACAAAGTGGTGGAGACTCTTGTTCTTGGGTACCAGGGTCTTCAGGCCACCCGGACTTTGGCCACCTGCCCTCTTGAAAGTCCCCATACTTTGGATGTGTCTAGCATACTGGCTCCTCCAGCGTGACAAGTCAGAGCAGGAAGGTCGGGGACCCTGAGGTGAGAGTCCCTTAGGAGCCCAGCAGCTTCACCTTAGTAAAGGACAGGGGCACAGAGAGGGGCTGCCCTAGCTGGCCAGCCAGGTACACACCAGGGGCCTGAGCCTGAGACCCCACATCATCCCCCAGAACAGGCTCCCTGTGCTGTCCTCAGCAAGGTCAACGCCTTCCTTTCCCAGGGGCTAACCCCGGCACCACATTTGTCCTGAGTGGAGGTGCTCTCCAGCTCGCAGAGACCCTGCCCCCCGTCTCATGGACACAGTGCATCCTGTTCTTGCCAGAGGAGGAGAGAGGGCACAGGGGCCAGGGGGCACCTCAGACCAGTGGCAGGATGGGAAGGATGGGCAGGAGTGGCTCAGGGGAGATGAGGGGGAGAGGAGAGCCACCAGCCTTCTCCTTTGACAGGCAGGGGGCCTGAGGCCAGGAGAGGTCATTGGCAGCAGGATCGGATCTACTTTCCAGCTCCTTCTAGCCAGAAACCATCGCCTCACCTTCTCCCACTGCACCCACCCCACCCAGGCTTGTCCCCGACCCCCTCCCCCTCTGTGCCCTGCTCTCGTTGTCTCTCTCTCTCCCACCAGCTTCCCAGGCGCCAGGCTCCCGTCTGCCCATCCGCAGCTTGCCTCCTTTCTGCGTGGCCTCCCCTGGCCAGCCCTCCAGTGTGTGTGCGTGTGCGTGTGTGGGCTTGCACATGTGTGCGCGTGAACAGGTGCCAGCTCAGGCTGTGGCGCCCGCCTGCCTTTCTTCCTCCCGCAGGAGCAGACCCTCGAAGCCCCGCCCTGTGGGTGCCCACCCCGGTCCCGTCCCTTCTGCCCCCGCAGGACTTGGAGTTCTTGTTTCTTCTTGTATCTCCCTGTTTTCTTCCCTCTCTCTCTGCCCCTCCAGCGATCTAGACAGAGACTTTTGGAATAACAATGAAAGCACAGTGCAGCAGAAATGGAGCTCCTACCCTCCCAAGGAGTTTATTCTAAACATTTCACCCTACGCCCCTTATGGCGACCCACGACTGTCCCTCAAGTGAGTGACTTTACCTGGTTTGATCATATGTACAAGTATCCGCGCACGCCCTCCTCTCCCCTGCCCTCTCCGGCCCCCATACTTCCCCCCTGCTCCTTGCCCCACCTCCCCACCCGTCCGCCCCATGGGCAGGCTGGCCATGGAGACGAGCAACCCCTCCTGCCCCGCGCCTGCCTGCCCCCGTCCCACCCCTGCCCCAGGGCCAGCCACGCAGGAGAGCCCCCTCCAGCCACCTGGCCCCACTGCCCCACCCTCTGTGCAGTCAGGATGGGGTTGCCCGTTCGGTCCCTCCCTCTTGGTTGTGGCTCGCTTTTTCCTCCCTGCTGTGCGCTGCTGCCGTGGCTGCTGGTGGTCGGTGGTCGGTGGTCGGTGGTCCGTGGCGGTGGTGGCGGTGATGGTGGTGGTGGTGGTGATGACTTCTGACTAACATGGCTTTCTCTCTCTCCCTGCCTGGGGGCCTCCTGGCCTGGACAGCCCGCTCTTCCTCCGTCGTTAACCCTCCGTTGTCCTGTGGGATAGAGTTGGAGGTGGCTGCCCTCCCCTACCCCCGCCGCCCCTGCCCCAGGCGGTGGGGAGGGGCCCCCCTCCATTGTCGTGGTGCGTTGTTCTCCGACCCCAGCCCACCCGGTGCCCCTTTCTCCTCTGCAGGCTCCACTGTTAACCCATCTGCAGTGCTGATGTCTCTCTCTCTCTCTCTGTCTGTCTCTTGTCCGTCTGTCTCTCTCCTTCTCTCTCGCTGTCTCTTTCTTCCTTTTATCTGTCGTTGTCTCTCCTCCTCTTCCACCCCTCCACCCCCACGTGTGGCCTGTCCTCTCTCCCCCACCGCCACCCCCGGTGCCCCTCTGGCCGGGCTGCCTCGTGCATGCCTCAGTGGCACCCTCCTGTCGGGCGCCAAAGTGGCCGCCGTGGCGGGGCTGGCGGTGGAGCGGGAAGGCCGGCTGGGGGAGAAGCCGGCGCCGGTGCCACCACCCGGAGAGGACGCCTTGAGAAGCGGCGGGGCTGCCCCCAGCGAGCCGGGCAGCGGTGGCAAGG